GATGGAGGTGGGAGCTGGTGGTGGGGAGGCTGGGATCTGGGGATGGAAAAGGGGCTGCAGGGAGGGGGCTGGAACTGGTGAGGGGAGGGGACTGGGAACTGGGGTGGAGGGAAGTGGGGGCTGGGTTTGGGAACTGGAGGTGGCGGGGGGCTGGGATCTGGGGGTGGGGAGGAGAGGAGGATGGAGGAAAGGAGTCTGAGGGTGGAGGTGGGAGGGGACTGGGGCCAGTCAGCAGCTTTCAAAGCTCTTTACTGAGGAGCTCAGTATTATTATCCCCATTTTACAGATGGGGAAACTGACGCACAGAGTGGGGCTGTGACTCGCCCCGGTCACCCAGCAGGCCAGTAGCAAAGAACCCAAAGATCTCCTGAGTTCCAGCCCAGTGCTCTATCCATTAGCCCGCAGCTCCCCCAAACAAGCAAAACACACAAATGGGAGCTGAGATTTTTTTTTTAAGTGTTTAAAATAAACGAATGAAAGCCGAGCTTCTCCCACAATCTCCAGCAGAGCTAGGGAAGTGGTATTGCCGCTCTACAAGGCACTGGTGAGCCCTCAGCTGGAATTCTGTGCGCGGTTCTGGTCTCTCATGTTTAAGAAGGATGAATTCAGGCTGGAACAGGTGCAGAGAAGGGCTACTAGGATGATCCGAGGAATGGAAAGGGGAGATTTTATGAGCTTGGCTTGTTTAGCCTGGCCAAAAGAAGGCTGAGGGGAGATATGATTGCTCTCTGTAAATACATCAGAGGGATAAACACCAGGGAAGGAGAGGAGTAATTTAAATCAAGCACCAATGTGGACACAAGACCAAATGGATGTAAACTGGCCATGAACAGGTTTAGGCTTGAAATTAGATGAAGGTTTCTAGCCATCGGAGGAGTGAAGTTCTGGAACAACCTTCCAAGGGGGGAGCAGTGGGGGCAAAAAACCGAACTGGCTTCAAGACTGAACTTGATAAGTTTATAGAGGGGTGGTATGATGGGACTGCCTACAATGGCATGTAGCGGATCTGTGACTGCTAGTAGCAAGTATCTCCAACGCCCGATGATGGGGCACTAGATGGGTCGGGCTCTGACTTACTACAGAGAATCCGTTCCCAGGTGTCTTGCCCACATGCTCAGGGTCTAACTGATCGGCGTATTTGGGGGCAGGAAGGAAGTTTCCCCAGGGTCAGATTGGCAGAGACCCTGGGGGGAGGGGGTTCGCCTTCTTCTGCAGCATGGGGCATGGGTCACTTGCAGGTTTGAACTAGTGTAAATTGTGGAGTCTCTGTAACGTGAAGTCTTTAAATCATGATTTGAGGACTTCAGTAACTCAGCCAGAGGTTAGGGGTCTGTTACAGGAGTGGCTGGGTGAGGTTCTGTGACCTGTGTTGTGCAGGAGGTCAGACTAGATGATCATGATGGTCCCTTCTGACCTTAAAGTCTGTGAGACTCTGGGAGCTGTCAAACTAACATGCTATTTTTTTTTAAGGGATTAAAAGTTTGGTTGATAAAGGTAATAGTGTTGACGTAATAGACTTAGACTTCTGCAAAGCGTTTGGCTTGGTGCTGCAGGACATTTTGATTAAAGAACTAGAACGATATAAATTTCATGTGGCCCACATTAAATGGATTAAAAACTGGCTAACTGATAGGTCTCAAAAATGTAACTGTAAATGGAGAATCATCATTTGGGGGAATGCATGTCCAGGGGGTCCTGCAGGGATCGGTTCTTGGCCCTATGCTATTTAAGATCTTTATCAATGACCTGGAACAAAACATAAAATCATCTCGGATAAAGTTTGCAGATGACCCCAAAATTGGAGGAGTGGTAAATAATGAAGAGGACAGGTCACTGACAGTGTTCCCTCTAATTTTTCCCACCCCTGTGTGGAATGAATTTTGTTATGTGCACCAATATGGAGGTGAGGTGTGACACATCACCTCCATATCGGTGCGCATAACAAAATTCATGTGGCGGGGGTGGGGCTGAGGGGTTCGGAGTGTGGGAGGGGGCTCAGGGCTGGGGCAGAGGGTTTGGGGTGCAGGGGAGGTGAGAGCTCCAGCTAGGGATATGGGCTCTGGGGTGGGGGGTGAGGCCAAGGAGTTCGGATTGTGGGAGGGGGCTCTGGGCTGGGGCAGAGAGTTAGGGTGTGGGAGGTGGAGGGGATGATGGCTCTGGCTGGGGGTGCAGGCTCTGGGGTGGGGCCAGGGCTTTGGGGTGCAGGCTACCCCGGGGCTACGGCAGGAAGAGAGAACTCCCCCCAGCTCTCTCTCCCTGCAGCAACATCTGGGCTGGGCAGGAGAGGCACCTCTCCCTGCTGCGGCAGGTCCGGGCTGGGGCTGGGTTGGGGCCGGGGGAGGGGCAGGTCCGTGGCTGGGTTGGGGTGTGGGAGAGGGAACTTTTAGGTCACTGATATAGAGCAATCTGGATTGCTTGGGAAACTGGTCTCAAGCAAACAATATGCATTTTAGTACAGCTAAATTTAAAATGTATCTGTCTAGGAACACAGACTGCAGGCCATACTTTCAGGGTAGGGGACTCAACCCGGGGGAGCAGGGACTCCGAAAAAGATTTGGGGGTTGTGGTGGTTAATCAGCTGAACATGCGTTCCCAGTGCGACGCGGTGGCCAAAAGAGCTAATGTGATCCTGGTCAACGGGGGAATCTCAGAGGTTATTTCACCTCTGTATTTGGCACTGGTGGGACCGCTGCTGGGATCCTGTGTCCAGTTCTGGTGCCCACAGTGAAGAAGGATGTTGATAAATTGGAGAGGGGTCCGAGAAGACTGAAGGATGAGAAAACCTGCCTCATTGTGATAGACTCAAAGAACTCAATCTATTTAGCTTAACGAAGTGAAGATTAAGGGGTGACTTCATCCCAGTCTATAAGTACCTACAGGGCAGAGTAAGCTGGTACGCCCCGGTACGGTGTACCGGCAAGAGCCAGTGCGCCGTATCGGGGCGGATCGGCTTCCCCTGGCGGCAATTTAAAGGGCCTGGGGTTCCCAGCAGTGGCTGGAGCCCTGGGCCCTTTAAATTGCCGCCAAAGCCCTGCTGCCGGAGCCCTGGGGAAGCAGCGGCGGGGCTTGGGCGACGATTTAAAGGGCCCGGGGTGCCTGCCGCAGCTACCACCCCGGGCCCTTTAAATCGTCCCCGGAGCCCTGGGGTAGTGACGGCAGGGCTCCGGAGGCTATTTAAAGGATCTGGGGCTGCAGCAGCCGCTACCGCTTGGGCCCTTAAAGTAGCCGCTGGAGACCTGCCGCCACCTCCCCAGGGCTCCGGCAACAGGGCTCCGGGGACAATTTAAAGGGCCCGGGGTGGTAGTGGCAGCCGGAGCCCCGGGCCTTTTAAATCACTGCCCAAGCCCCCGGCTGCTGCTGCTACCCTGGGGCTCCTGCGGCGTGGCTCGGGTGGCAATTTAAAGGGCTCGGGGCTCCCACTGCCACTACCCTCCGGGGCCCTTTAAATCGCCACCCGAGCCCCACTGCTGGAGCCCTGGGGTAGCGGTGGCGGGGCTCTGATGGTGATTTAAAGGACCAGGGGCTCCCGGCTGCCGCTACTGCAGCGGAGCCCCGGGCCCTTTAAAACTCCGCCAGAGGCCGGGGCCCCTTCCGATGGAGCCCCGGGCCCTTTAAATCACACCTGGGGCTCCCAGTCGCCTCTGCAGCTGGTAGCTCTGGGGGTGATTTAAAGGGCCTGGGGCTCCCAGCTGCTGCTACCACAGCCCCAGCTCCGGGCCCTTTAAATCCTGATGTAAAGCGCCCAGGGATGTAAAGGTCCCGCCTCTTCAGGTAGAGGCCACGCCCCTCCTAAGGACTCCGGAGTATGGTAAGTCCTTTAAGTTACTTTCACCCCTGCTGCAGGGGGAACAAATATTTAAGGATGAGCTCTTCAGTCTAACAGAGAAAGGTCTAACATGACCCAATGGCTGAGAGTTGAAGCTACACAAATCCAGACTGTAAATAACATGCAAAATTTTAACACCGATGGAAATTGGATGACTTACTGAGGGTCCTGGTGGATTTTCCATCACTGACCATTTTTAAATCAAGAGCGGATGTTTTTCTAAAAGCTCTGCTCTAGTTCAAAGAGGAAGTAATTCAGGGAAGTGCTGTGGCCTGTCCAAGCTAGAGCAGGGCAGAAGTTTTAGCACAAAACCTTTTTTCCGGAAAAAAAAGTCAATTCACTGACAGATTTTGCAAATTAGCTCGGGTCCCCCAAATTGTTCATTTTGGGGAAAATCAAAACCTTAAAAAAATCCAGAGAAAATCAAAGCATTTACAATTGTTTTGGTTCAAAGTGGCTTTTTGTCTAAAAATTTCCTTCCCTTTTTGTTTTTCTTAATTCAAAATTATTTGAAAAGGGTCAAAATCGTCTCCTCTGACGCATAGTTCATAGAATCGTAGGCCTGGCAGGGACCTCGAGAGGTCATCTAGTCCAATCCCCTGCACTCATGGCAGGACTAAGTATTATCTAGAGCATCCCTGACAGGGGTTTGTCCAACCTGCTCTTAAAAATCCCCAATGATGGAGATTCCACCACCTCCCTACGCAAGTTATTCCAGTGTTTAACCACCCTGACAGTTAGGAAGTTTTTCCTAATGGCCAACCTAAACACCCCTTGCTGCAGTTTAAGCCCATTGCTTCTTGTCCTATCATCAGAAGTTAAGAAGAACAAATTTTCTCCCTCCTCCTTGTAACATGCTTTTATGTACTTGAAAACTGTTATCATGTCCCTTCTCAGTCTTCTCTTTTCCAGACTAAACAAACCCAATTTTTTCAGTCTTCCTCACAGGTGATGTTTTCTAGACCTCTAATCATTTTTGTTGCTCTTCTCTGGACTTTCTCCAATTTGTCCACATCTTTCCTGAAATGTGGTGCCCAGAACTGGACACAATACTCCAGTTGAGGCCTAATCTACGCGAAGTAGAGCGGAAGTATTACTTCTCGTGTCTTGCTCACAACACTCCTGCTAATAATAAGACTCAACGCGAAACTTTTTGTCCAACTTTACGATTTTACAAACTTTCATTTTTGCACTGACCAGAAACTCTCTTTTTCCCACCCAACTTTTCAAAATTGCCAGTTAATCAAAAACTCCATTATTTGCCCCTGTTCTAGTCCCATCCCATCCCTAAATAGCTCTAGATTGGCTGGATCCCTGAAGCAGAGAGTGTAGAACCGTCCCAGGAGCTGTCACGGAACACCTGACCTTACCCTAATGCTTTCCCTCAGTAGGGTTTTCTGTTGTGAGCTCCTGGGGATGTGACCACAATCGGGCCTGGAGGAAAGGACAACACCAGAGAGGAAGCAGGTGAGCAGGGAGTTAGACCAGCTGAGAACCCTGCAGGAGAGCACGGGAGTCCCAGCAAAGCCGCCCAGAGCCCCTCTAGCAGGTAACTAGACATTTTTTGAGTGGAATTTTTTTTTCAGCAAAAACTGCAGATTCAGTGAGGCCAAAAATGCTTCCTGAATTCATGTCTGATTCACCAAATTGTTGGTCGCGGGGGGGAGAATAAACAACGAAAATTCCCCCAAAGTCCAAAGTTTCCTTATGACATTTTCTATATGAATTGCCGGCTGAAATGACTTTCCGGTTAGGATCTGCCTTCAATTTTATTTTTAAAAGGCAAATGCATTTTTTTTATTTTAAATCTTGAAATCGACTCAAAATGTTTTGGGTTGACTGAAAGATTTCACTTGACCCAAAACAATTATTGTTTCAACTTTAAGATTCACCAACATTTAAAAAAAAATCATTTTGGGGTTGATGTGTTTTTCTCCAGTTTTTTTGGAACTGCCAGTCAACCGAAGAGTCGCCTATTCACACAGCTGATTGTCACGGTGGGAATGTGGGGGGTGCTGGTTCCCATGCTGTCACCCACCCGAGCATTCCTCCCCCGTGGGGATCCATGTCTTACCAACCCCACTGCCCCTGGTCATTAACCCCACCGGGCCTTTCCCTGGAGGAGTTGATGCCAAAGCAGGCCTGGGCCCCTCCACTAGAGGAAGGCTGGGGGTGTCTCCTTCTGAGCCCCATTGCTGTCTTGGAGGCCTGCCTCTCAGTTTCACCAATGGCAGCGCTATATGGCCTGGGCATAAATGAGAATCCGTGTCTACAGCCTGGGTGTGGATGGTCATGCCTAGTGGTCGGAGCTGGAGTCAGGCACCCGGGGTCAAGCCCAGGGCCGGAGACAGAGACAGAAACCAGGCAAGGAGCAGACCAGAGCAGGACAGGAAGAAGGCTAGGAGGCAAGGCTGGGGCAGGAGCACCCATAGTGGCGAGCATAAGCGTTAAGCTGCCTCCCCCTCAGCCAGTCAGGCTGGCCGGCTACCGAGCAGTTCTGCTGGCACTCGGATGTATTCATGAGTCAGTACTCGTGATTCCAGGCTCAGCTGCCGGCGCTTGGTTCTATATTAATAATAATGCCCAGTGCTTTCCATCCATATTGCTCACAGCCCTTGACGATGGAGCTCGGTAGTGTAATCCCCATTGCACAAGTGGGGAAACTGAGGCACAGAGCGGGATGGTCGCCCAAGAGGCCAGAGCCGGGAATAGAAGCCAAGTGCCCTGAGTTCTGGTGCTCTATCCGCTAGGCCACGCTGCCTCTCACCAGAAATGGGGAGGCTTGGGGAGCATGCCCCTCCCCCCATAGAGCAACTCACGACTGGATTCTCTGTCCTCACAGGGAGCAGGGAAGAAGGAGGGGGATCCCCGGAGCTGCCTGGGAGAAGCCAAAGGGAACAGTCCTGGTAGCGAAGCCGAGCTGCAGGCAGGCTTGTTGAAGGATTGGCTGCACACATAACCCCAGGCTGCTGGAGCACCCCGTCGGCCACACCCATGGGTGAGAAGGCCAACACGTGCCCATACTGCGGGAAGGGCTTCCGGCGCAGCTCCCACCTGACCCGGCACCTGGGCACCCACTCAGGCGGAGAGCAGCGCCCCTATGCCTGCAGCCACCGTGGCAAGGGCCCGGCCCTGACTCCGCCGCCGGCGGGCGAGCGCCCCTACGCCTGCACCCACTGTGGGAAAGCCTTTGGGCGCAGCGCCCACCTGGCCCGGCACCAGGAGACCCACTCCGGTGAACGCCCCTACAAGTGCACCTACTGCGGGAAAGCCTTCGGGCGCAATGCCCACCTGACCCGGCACCACGGCACCCACACCGGCGAGCGCCCCTACCAGTGCGGTATCTGTGGCAGGGCCTTCACCCGCGACGCCCACCTGACCCGGCACCAGCTCGTCCACACCGGCGAGAAGCCCTTCCAGTGCGGCGTCTGCGGCAAAGCCTTCACCCGCAGCGCCCACCTGGCCCGGCACCAGGGCATCCACACGGGCGAGAAGCCCTTCGAGTGTGGGGTCTGCGGCAAAGGCTTCACCCGCGATGCCCACCTGGCCCGGCACCGGGCCACTCACACTGGCGAGCGCCCCTACAAGTGCGCCGACTGCGGGAAGGGCTTCGGAGCCACCTCCCACCTCCTCCGCCACCAGAGGACCCACCAGGAGTAGCTGCCCTGGCATGGAGCGTGGGAACCAAGGGGCAGTGGTTCCCACGCCCCTGGTGCCCTCCTCCATCATGGGAGGAGAGGGCATGGGAATCGGGGGGCACCAGTTCCCGCGCTGCCACCCTCTGGGGCGTCCCTCCCACATGGGAATCAGGGTGGCAACAGTTCCCGCGCTGCCACCCTCTGGGGCGTCCCTCCCACATGGGGAACTGAGGGGATGCCAGCTGTCATGCCCACTCCTTTCCCATGGGAGGGTGTGGGACTCAGGGGGGTGCCAGCTCCTATGCCACTTCTGCCCAGAGTGCACCATCCTCCGGGGAGGGCGTGGGAACCAAGGGGGCACCACTTCCCGTGCTGCCACCCACTGGGGTGCTCATCCCCCGGAGGGAGAACTGGTGCCCCTGCTTACACACACTGACATGCTCCTACTCCCCTGGGCTGGGCGTGGGAATCAAGGGGGGGCAGCTGCAACGACCGTACAGGAGGATCTGGCCCAGAGTTGGGCTCCGGGCATCCTTGGGGCGTGGATGTTAACGCGGGCTGCCTGGGGAGCGCACGGAATCACCGGCCCCGTGGCCGGTCTGCCCTGCGAAGGGACGACGATCCAGCCGTATCTAAAACCTCGTCCAGACAGCGAGATTAACTGAAACAGCAGCCCCAGGTGGACGCGCTTTTCTGAGGGAAAAAGAACTCTATCCCGGGACAATTGCTCTGCCCCCAAAGCGACGCCCTTGCCCAGCCCCGGCGACAGGCCCAGATGCCTTCTGCTCTGCCAGGCTGGTCACAGGCACTAGCCCCCTCAGCCCTTGCCAGGCTTGGCCTCATCTCTTCCCAGCAGGCCCCAGGGCACTGGTCCTCAAAGGGGCAGGCCAGCCTGGTCCAGGGAGTCCAGAATAGCTCTGTTAGACGGTACTAGCCAGTGTGGAGTAGTTAGTCTGGAACAGCCAGGCCGGGCCACTTCCTTCAGTGTAGACATGGTGTGAGAGCGCACAGGCAGCGTGCCAAGACAAGAGCAGCGGGGGGGGTCTGTCCGTGGTTGGGTGTGAGAAACCTCCGTGGGTGGGTGTGTGTGTGTGTGTGTGTGAGAGAGAGAAACCCTGTGTGTGTGAGAAACCTTGTGTGTCCCTGTGTGTGTGAGAAGCCTCCTCGTGTGTGTGTGTGAGAAACCGCTCGCATGTCAGAAACCTCCTTGTGTGTCTATGTGTGTGTGAGAAACCTCTGCTCATGTGTGTGTGTGTGTGTGAATGTGAGAAAAACCTGTGTGTCCGTGTGTGTGTGTGTGAGAGAGAGAGAGAGACAGAAACCTCCTGTGTCCGTGTTTGTGTGAGAAACCTCTTCTCGTATGTGTTTGTGAGAAACCTCCTTGCATATCCGTGTGGGTGTGAAACTTTGTATGTGTGTGAGAAACCTCCTTGTATGTCCATGTGTATGTGAAACCTCGTGTGGATGTCCATCCATCCATGTGTGTGAAATGTCATGTGTGAAACTTCCTCCCACGTGTCCATGTGAGCGTGTGTGTGATAACCCTCCTTATGTGTGTCTATCCGTGTGTGTGTGGAACTCTTTGCCAGAGGATGTTGTAAAGGCCAAGACTATAACAGGGTTAAAAAAAGAACTAGATAAATTCATGGAGGATAGGTCCATCAATAGCTATTATTAGCCAGGATGAGCAGGGATGGTGTCCCTAGCCTCTCTTTGCCAGAAGCCGGGGATGAGCGACAGGGGATGGATCACTTGATGATTGCCTGTTCTGTTCATTCCCTCTGGGGCACCCAGCACTGGCCACTCTCGGAAGACAGGATACTGGGCTAGATGGACCTTTGGTCTGACCCAGTCTGGCCGTTCTTATGTTCTTATGTGTGTGTAACACCTCCTTGTGTGTGTCTGAGAAACTTCCTACCACGTGTGCAAGTGTGGGAGTGCGAGCCTCCATGTGTGTGCATGTGTATGTGAAGCCGCCTCTTGTGTGTGTGTGAAACTTCTTCCTATGTGCATGTGTCTGTATGAAACCTTGTGCGTGCATGAAACCTCCTCCCGTGAGTGTGTGTATCTGAAACTTCCTCATGTGTGTGAAACCTGTGAGTGTGTGTGTGTGTGAGAAATAGGGTTGCCAATTTTGGCTGGACATATTCCTGGAGGTTTTGTCACATGACATAATCTTTAATTAAAGATTGATCTTTAATTTCTGGAGACTCCAGGACAGTCCTGGAGGGTTGGCAACCCTAGTGTGAAACGTGTGAGAGAGAGAGAGAGAGAGACCTCCTCCGACGTTTCTGTCTGTCTGTGAAACCTGTGTGTGTGACAGAGAATAAAGCCTCATTGTATGTGTCCGCGAGAGAGACCTTCCATGTGTGTGTATGAGAGAGAAGCCTCCTCGTGCACGCGCATGTGAGAGAACCTTCGTGCACTTGTATGTGTGAGAGAACCCTCCTCGTGTGCACGCATGTATGAGAACCCTCCTCATGTGCGTGTGTGTGTATGTGAGAGAGACAGATAAAAACACAGACACATGCGCACGTGAGGGAGGAGGTTTTGTTCCCACACCTCGGGGGAGGGGTGCGCTTGCTGTGGGACCCAGCAAGTCTCTGTGGGGTTGTCAGAGGAGCACTGAGGTTGCTGGAGGATATTTCTGTCCTCTGCCCCATCTCGCATGGAGGCTGTCTGCACACTGCACTGTAAACCCGGGTCTGGGGAAGCCAGGCCTGTGCACTCGGTGTGTCCAAGCCTGCGCTGGAGCATCCGCGTTGCATTGTAAACCTGAGTTTGCAAATGCTGGCCCCGGTCTCCCAGCCAGGCTAGTGCGTCCACACTGCACCGCGTGGCCCTTCTGCCTCTGGGCTGCGGCTTGAGCTGTGTCCACACTGCACAACGCCAGGGCTTGGACCCACCCCCTGTAGCAGGGCCCTGGGCCCGGTGCGCTTCCTGAGCCAAGTCAGACCGATGTGTGTGGACGGCAGGGGGGGCCTGGCGCTCAAACCTGAGTCAAAGCCAGGCTTAGTGTGCAGTGTAGACACACCCTGAGGGAGCTGGCCATTTTCCCTCAGTCAAAATGGCTGCTCTCTTCCGTTTATTTGGGGGGCTGGGACGGGGGGATGAAGCCAGCGTGTGCTGTAGAGTTAGCCCCCACCCTGCAATGACCCATTCAGGGAGTCTGGGTCAGGAAACTAGGGCAGGGGGATGTGTGGGGATGGGGGGCAGAAAGGTCGAAGGGTCACAGGGATGTGGGGTATAGATGGCAGGAGGAGGTTGCAGGGAAATGTGGAGAGCTGAGAGGTCACAGGGACAGGTGGGGGCAGCAGGGAGGCTGGGGGCTGCCTGAAGGACAGGAGGGAGATCACAGGGGCAGGAGGAGCGGGGGGGCTGGAGGAGGGGGTAGGAAGAAAGGCTGGGGCAGGGCGTGAGGGGAGATGGGGCAGGAGGGGGACATGGGGATGAGGGGGGCAGGAGGAAGGCTGAGGCAGGGCTAGGGGGATTTGAGGGTGGGGGTGGGCAGGGAGAGGCTGAGGGAGGGGATGGGGGCAGGAGAAAGGCTAAGGGAGGCTCAGGAGGACATGGGAGCAGTAGGATGGGGGGAGGGGAGCGCCGGGGGGTGCAGGAAGGAACGGGGGGAGGGCTGCAAAGGAAAAGGCAGGGAAACCGGGGGGCAGGCAGGGGGCAGAGAGACCGGGCGGGGTGGGGAGACAGGCAGCCCCCAGCTCTAGGGGGCGGGATGCATTGCAGGCTGAGCCCCAGATGCTCTCACACCCATTGGGAGCCGGCGCTTTCCCCAGCCAAGCTCAGAACCACAAGGTGGGTCCCGTCCTCCCCCCAACCCTACCCCCTAATTATTATTGTTTGACAAATCTGATTTTTCAGCCAGGCACCGGAGCTTGTCCCCTCGGGTCTGGAAGCGTCTCCAGCCACGGGTCACCTTCCAGCAGCTCCCAGACGCCTCTTCCTGGGGGCGTGATTGTGGCCAGTCCCCGGTGTGTGGCTCAGCAAGGGGGCAGCTGGCGTGCCCACGGGGCCACGCTATGGGGTAGAACTGGCATCCCGAGTGGCTTGGCCATGACCTCGCGGGACTGTCCCAGGCCACGCCGGGCCCCACTGCATCCGCTGCGTCTCGGGGCTGCCATGGTCTCCTCTCCGATGGAGGCCGCACAGGGGATACTGGGGTTCATGCCTGGTCACCATCCCCTTGCTCCTTACAACATGGCACCCGCTGCACCAGGCACAGAGAGGAAGGAGGGGCCAATTGCTGAGGACAGGCTCCGTCACGCTGCCATGGGGCGGGGACATGCTGGGGCAGGGTGGGGGGGATGTGCAGTGCTGGGTACTTTACCATGTTCGTCTTCGGTAGATTGTATTGTTAGTGGCCCCACACCAGTGCCAGGGGTACGGCGGGCGACTGGCTGAAATGGAGTGGCCTCCCAGGGCTCCCTCCCTTTCCCACACCCGCCCCCCGTTTTCCTGGTGCTGTGTTTTTCGGGGGTTGTCCTCTATTTTCTAATCGTGCTAACAATGTCTGTCTCGATCTGAAATAAATGCTCTTTGCCCTACCTGCCTCGTAGCCCCATCGTCTTTCCCACAGTCCCCAGGCCAGATGCCCTATGGGTATCACTCAACATAGCTCCTCCAGCAGAGCTGTCGGCTGAAACCTCCCAATGCTACAGCACCAGAGCTGCTGAGAAATTCAGCAGGCAGCCCGGGGAACAGGGGATTTCCCGCAGGAGGAGGTGAGGTGCCGCAAATGCCGATGGATGGTGGCGTCTCCAGTCCAGTTTGGTGGCCATGGATTAGGGGTGGGGGGATGAACATGCACTAGCCCGGCTGGCTCTACTTACCCCTTCCCACTCCACAACTAGCCCGTCTTGAAAGCAACACTCCACTGGCTTGAGAGGGTTTGCACGTGGATGGGGGCTGTCCAGGGCTGGAGCAGGAGCAGCCTGGAAGAGCTACCAGGGTACAGGGAACATTTCCCCCACACCCCTGCTAAGTGACCCTGGGTTGATGATGGAGCCCATCTGAGAAGGACGGGCAGGGCTGGTATAAAGCCAGGAAGCTGCCAGCAGAAACAGGCTGCAGGGGAAGCAGGCTGCAGTCACCCCGTGGGAGCTTGAGTTGGATCCCAGGGCTGGGCCAGAACACCGAGAAAGAGAAAAAGAAGGACATAGGAAGGAGCACGGGGAAATAGCAACGGGGTCTGGGAGTGAGCAGACCGGGGTTGCTGGGCTGGACTCGAGTCATGTGTGGGCCTGGGTTCCCCTGCCCGCTGCTGGGAAAGGGGCATAGTCTTAGGTTAGAGAGCAGCCTGGAAAGGCAGCCGGATAGTTGGAGAGATTTTGCTACCCTGGAAGGGGGAAAACACATAGTAGCCCGGAGGGCCAAGCCAGGATGAGGGAGCGGCCAAGCCCTGATGAGGCCAAGCTCCCAAATCTCAGCACGACACAGGGCCCAGCAAGGCTGGGGCAAAGTCTGGAGGGCCCGGCTTCCCCACCATGGGCAGGAGCGACCCCCAGCACGGCTAATCCCCCCACAGCCTCAGCCCTATGACCTGGATACAGAGCAGTTCACAGGGCTCTTGGCAGACTCGGGCAGCGTTGCTGCATCAGTTACACTTGATGCAGCTCCCCCCCTCCCAGCGATGGGGCTCAGACTCGCTGCAGACTTAGGCAGCGTTGCTGCATCGCTTACATGCAGGGCAGCTCCCCCTGCTCCCAGCGACAGGCTCTGGCTCTTGGCAGACTCAGGCAGCATCACTGGATCGCCCACACCCAGAGCAACTCCCGCTCTCCCAGCAACAGACTCAGGCTCTCGGCAGACCCAAGCAGCATCGCTGTGTTGGTCAAACTTGGGAAGATTCCCCCCCACCCACACACACACACAGAGTGATGGACTCAGGCTCTCTGCAGACCCAGGCAGTGCCGCTGCATCGGCTCACTTTTTGTAAGTTTCCTTCCCAGCCTTAACAAGAGGTAAAGACTGACACCCCTCCTCCGACTCAAAGAAAGCTGAGCCTCTGGAGAGCAATGGG